GGTTAGCAGCTGCCAGGCTGGCACAGACCCTCACACAAAGGGTGAGGAGAGTTTGGGTGTGTAGGGAAAAGCCTCTGTGAGAGGCACTGAACACCCATCCTGTGCTGTGCAGAGCAGCTCAGATGAGAGGCCCCTTCACCCAGGGAGAAACCCAAGTGAAGGACAGCAGAGGGAGTGTCCTGACCCATCAAAGGCCCCACAAAGGGGTCCCCAGACCCTGCAACAGACCCTCAGTGTTGCAGGGAACAGTGCTAGACTGGGACCCTGCAAGGGATAAACCTGGGTGTTCCCACCTGGCCGAAACGTGTGTCAATCCCCTGGACTCTGTACTTGGCACCATGGCAGGGGACACACCCCACCAAGACCAGATGGAGGGAAACCACGGGGTGTCCTTGGGACCCTCCAAAGGTTGATGTGTTTTACCTAACCCCTGTCAGTCTCTCCCTGCCCTCCTGCCCCTGCACACTTCTTTTCCTGTTTCTTTGTTTTTTTTTTTTCTTTTCTCTTTCCTCTGCTTGCCACTTTTACTATTAAATAAAATATATCACTTTCTTTGGAACCAACATCTAGCTTCATTTGGTTTTAATCAAGTTTTGGGGTATATTTCAAACTTTTCTGTGTTTGATCTGTCTTATTCACAAAGATTTCATTTTCTTTGCTCTTCTGTGTTTGAACTAGTTCATAACACATGGTCTAGGGTCTTCTTATTCAACAAACCTGCCTTGGGCAGGGACACCTTCCACCAGACCAGGTTGCTCAGAGCCCCCTCCAACCTGGTCTTTTATGTGTGTTACTGAATGTTACTGTACATATATGTATTTTACTATTTTATTAGTATGCTACTGTGCATAATAATAACACTTCAAATATATAGAGAGCCTTTTGGACACAGTTTAGAGTGGAGCTGAAACATAAATCCCATTAATTCCCTATCGTGTGTGGTAGAGGCAAGTGGGATTAGCTCTTGTCCTTTTCCAGCACGATCTGGACACAGCAAAGGGAAATGAAGAGAATTATGTGATCTTTATCAGGATCTTTTTCAAAGACTGATGTGTGAAAGCAAGAGCCCGGTGTGAAGGACCATCTGCCACATCGTTAGCACATTGGACATGGAAAGCAGACCCAAAAGGCAAATGCAGGAGCATTTGGGGTGAAGAAGTTGTTCCAAAAGAACTAAAAAGACACAGAAGGGAAATATATTCCCCTGATGTTAGTATGGATAGTGAAAACAGGGAACAAAGTGAGGGTGTGGGATGAGATGATTGTATCTCACACCAATGTATGGACAAGCTTGTGGTTACTGTAATTTCCCACCAGTTACTGGCTCCTCTGAATTCCCAGACCAGAGCAGGATCTATTCCCTGGCTGTCACCAGGGAATACTGCTCTGTGATAATCCAAATCCACCTCTCTGGACCATTCATTGTTTGCTTCAGCCCCATTGATGCTGGAGCTGCTCTGATGCTGCTGTGTCCCTTGCAGGACTGTGCCTCCGGCCGTGGCAGATCCCTCTGCCTGGCATTCCAGCAACACACAGGAGACAGCTGAATGATGCATCACATTCTTATTCTTCCAAATAAATTCTGATGAGTTTCAAACAAAAGCACAACAAACATGCTCAGAGCTGATTTCGGTGCTTTTTCTCATTGTGAAAACAAGAGCAGAAGTTGCTCTGGGGGAAAGAAATTCAACCTGAAATCACCATTAAGTAGAGCTCTGAATGAAATGGAAATTCAGCCTGTTGCAGGAATGTTAGAGTTACCAAACATCACTATGACTTTTTATTTTGGGAATTAGAGATTTTTCTGAGGATAGCAGACATTTAATATGGCAGACAAATACAAAGAAACTACTTTTAATTTCATGTGGTTGATTATTTACCTTGAAACTATTACTAGAGAGGTGGAAAGGTGGTTTTTCTCCAAAAGCTCTCCTTTTGGCCTTTCTGTGCAGCTCACAGAACAACGTGAAAAATATTTATGGTCTTAATGATTCAGTAGTTTCAACCTTCAGTTTTGTTTATACAGGAAAAGCTTTTTAAATAATAGATGTTTATTATTGCTGAAGACTTCTTCGTTTGGCTTAGGGTACGTCTTTCGGTTCCTCCCTTTTGGTGGAGCAGCTGTTATGTCAGAAATGTGTACAGAAGGGTCTATTTGTGTAAGTGCAATTTTCTACGTGATTGATTTTAGAGCATTTGTATGAGTGTGCAGAGAGTCCACTGCCCGTGGATTTCATTTCAAACTAAACATCCGTCTGGAGGCCGAGGTTAAAACAAGTGCAAATCAAAGCACTGGTTATTCACAAATAGGTTTGTCACAGTCTGATAGCCAAGCATATTTAAATATTTCTTTGCAACACTTGAACTGCTCTCAAACAGATTCTAGAAGCTAATTGAAAGCTCAGTCAGTACAGAAAGTCCTGTTGGAGAGGAATAATGAATAAAGATGCAGTGAAGAAGAACGAGGAGGCAGCTGGACGGGGAGGGAGGGATGGGGAGGAAGCAAACCAGCAGTGGAAGATAAAAGCAGTGGATTTGCCTGCATGTGACTCGAGGGAGCCAGAACCTGTCCGTGCTGGGCACAGCGTGGCAGTGGGGCTGGCCCATCCCTCCCCACACTCACCCTGAGCCCTCAGCTGCCTGGCCCTCCTCACTCCCTGCTGGCTGAATCTCCAGGAAAACACCAGGAAAAACCTTTGTCAAGTTGATTTCCAACATTCTGGGTTCAATAAACTCCTTCTGGACACAGTGCAGGGTTTGGTGTCTCAAGGACATCAACGCTTGTTCTGGAAGGTTGTGATAGGAACACGGGGGTCCTGGTGAGCTCATCCCTGTGCTCCTGGAGAAAGATGCTCTTCTGAGGACCTGGGGTTCCTGCTCCTTGGGGTGTCTGGGAGAGAAGCTCACACATCTATAAACCAGCTTTGTGAGTGAAAGGGACCTTGTGATTCCCAAAGCAGCAGTCTAGCACGTGGGGGCAAGGCAGGAGCCTACACTCAGAGGCTTGGCTCTGCCACCACGTGGGATCTTTGATGTTCTTCAGGGAAATTGCAATTGGCTGCTGTTTTCAGGGGCCGCAGCAGTTGGCAATGCCTCTGCTTGATTTGCCTCCGCTTGTGATTAAGTTTTTTAAGTGTTTTAAGACTTCCCCTGGCAAAAAAAAAAAATTGTAATAGCTTGTGGAGGAGCTAAAATATACAAGCATCAGATCAGGCTTCACAGCTGAAAATCATTGCCCAGAGACGGGGAACCAAGTCACCCCTTTCTGGGTAGAGCATAGATCACTCTTCTCTTTTAAACAGAGAATCAGAGGCTCATTAAATTGCCTCCATTATATAGAGGTGCAGCTGAGGCTCTTAGGCAATGCTCAAGAGGGTTTAAAACATCACCTTTTCCTCAGAAAGACCTGAGACCTCTGTTTCTTATCTTTTATGCTGGAGTCATGAGCCTTTGCAGGTAAGATTTCATTATTTACCTATTTAGATGGAGGAAATAATGAAACACTCCCTGGGGAGAGGAAACCTGACTGAGGAATGGTTTAATTGGTTTTTTTTTTTTGGTTGTTTTTTTTTTTTTTTTTTTTCCAATAAGCATTAATAGATTTTATGCAGATCAGATTATTTTATTGTGGGGGAAAAAAATGTGTAAATTTAAAGTGCTTGATATTGCTAAGTGCTTGTAAATTTAAAGTGCTTGATATTTTTCTCTGGCTCAGCAGCTGCTCGCTGGACACATTTAAATTCCCATCCTTTGCTGTGCAGCTGCCCTTTCTGGCCACTGCCCAGTCTGCAAAGCCGCAAGAGGATTTTACACAGATCTGTCCCTTAGGGCAAGTGGCCCCAAAGGACCCCTTTTGCTTCCCAGGCAGATTTAGGGAGGAAAGAACCCTTCAACTTTGATGTCAGTCCAGTCAGAGCAAATCCTTTACAAACACTGGGATGCTGCAGTGAATCATAGAATCACACAGAGGTTTGGTTTGGAAAGAACTCACCAGCTCATCTTGTTCCAACTCCCTGCCATGGACAAGGATGCCTTCCACTGTTCCAGGTTGCTCCAAGCCCTGTCCAGCCTGGCCTTGAACACTTCCAGGGATGGGGCAGCCACAGCTTCTCTGGGCAACCTCACAGAGAATTTCTTCCTAATATAAAATCTAAATCTCCCTGCTTTTAGTTTAAAACCATTCTCTTTTTTCCTACCTACCCATATAAAAAGTTGCTCCCTTTCCTTTTTGTAAGCCCCGTTTAGGTACTGTAGGGTCTGTAAGATCTCCCTGAAGCTTCTCTTCTCCAGGCTGAACACCCCCAACTTTCTTGGCCTAAGAGCTCCTGATTTCATTTGGTTTGGTATAAAAGCAACAAGAAACCTCTTGCGGAGGGTGACCCCTCCCAGTGCTGGAAGTGCTGGGAGTGGGTGGACACGGGAGGCACAGAGGGGACCTGGGGTGACATTCCCGCGGCGTGGGCAGCGCTGGGCTGAAACCAGGAGAGCCCCCGGGCAGGGGGACCACGGAGGGGCTGGAGTCGGTGGGACACCCGCTCTGCGTCCCGACTGGGGGGAGGATGGAGGGGAAAAGTCCGGATGGAGGAGAAATTGAAGACGAAACGCTGGTCTGGGCAGGGGGATATAAAACATCCCTGTCTGCCTTCCCCCCGCGCCGCGGCGGGTCTGCGGGCACGGACGGAGCGACGGAAGGGCGGGGGGCGGACGGAGGGACGGGGGATGCCCGTGGTGGGGGGCGGCCCCTCTCCCCTCTCCCCTCCTCCGCTCCCCTCCCGCCGGGCCGGGCCGGGCCGGGCGGCTCCGCTCCCGCCCCCGCTCTGCCGCCGCATTTAACGGGGCTCGCTGCCGCCGTGCCGTGCCGAGCCGTGCCGTGCCGAGCCGTGCCGTGCCGTGCCGTGCCGTGCCGTGCCGTGCCGTGCCGTGCCGTGCCGAGCCGTGCCGTGCCGTGCCGTGCCGTGCCGTGCCGTGCCGTGCCGGTCCGTCCCGTCCCGCCGCCCGGCCATGGCGCGCCCGCTGCCGCTGCTGCTGCTGGCGCTCGGGCTCGCCGCCGCCGCCAAGTCCCCGTACCAGCAGGTCCTGCAGCACAGCCGGCTCCGCGGCCGGCAGCACGGGTAAGGGGAGGCAGCGATGCGGGGAAACCTCTTCTAAAGCCTTTTCTTCCCCAGGTCTGCCCGGGTCCCTGCGGGGTCTCTGCGCGGGCACCGTGCGGAGCGCTCTCGGTAACCGCTGCTTTCGTTTCCTTCTCTTTCGTCCCCGCGTAACTTTTTGTCTTTCGGGAGCTTTTCCCCCTTTCCATCACGGAACTTAGTGTTGCGGATGTCGGTTCTGAGGTTATCTCTGTTAAGGGAAAAGGGTATAAAGGTCCCTGGATTTTGAGCCATTAAAGATTTCGTTGAAAGAATTGTCATTTTTATAAATTTTAAGGAAAAAAAAAAAAAAGAAAAATCACTTCAATGTCTCCGTGCAGTCAGCATCAACTTACTCTTTGACTGGAAACCTCAGTTAGTCGTGGAAGTTTTCTTGACAGAAATAATCACTTACTCATAAACCTTACAAGATAAGGCCTATGGAAAAATGCATGTAGACCTCTCTTGCTTGATACACAGCCTGTTATGGAGTGAGTACTTTGAGTCTTCAATAATAAGCAGAAAACTAACCCAGTGTTAATAGTTGTTCCCACTGTTTTAAAAATTTATTAAGAATTAGGAATGGTGAAAGGATGGAAGACCTTTCAGCTGGCTTCCATCTCTCAGGATAGTGACAGTGATTGAGTTTAAGCTTCTGTTTAAGTGTGTTGCTGGAAGCAGGGTCATGAAATGCTTTAAATTAAAAAAAAAAAAAACAAAAAAAAAAAACTCCCAAGATTTAAATATTGCAATTTGACACATGCTCTGGCAGGGATCTAGGTTAGAATTTATGACAAGGGATGTGTTGTTTGTATGCATGACTGGGGACACAATCCAACAGGCAAATTCTGAGCTGATATTTATTTGTAATAGGTCAGTAATGCCAGAATTGCAGTGATTTACGTAGAAATACAGGAGTCTTGTTCACCATCTCTATGTGATGTGAAACTAAATAAATAGTTCTGCTGATAGCCCTGAGATTGAAGTTTGCTCAGGCTGAATAAGTTAGGGCAATCCTGGTGTAGAGCAGTGCTTTTACACTCATCTCTGCAGAGAGATGCTTGTTGCATTACTCCCTGCACAATTACCAGAGGCACTGGGTAAGATGTGACTGGTCCACTCTGGTGCCCGAGATCTTTGGAAAACACAAGGAGCTGGAATGCCAAAACTTCCATCTGAGTTGAGATAAACCCAGTGTAGCTGACCACAGCTCTTTGCTCACTGCTCCCATTCTGATGGAGAGAGTGATTTATACCAAGCTAACTTTTGAACATACATGGAATTTTGAGCATTGATTAATGATGTGCCAAAGAGATACAGCAGCACAAAACCAGCCAAAAACGTCCTGGATGTGGGGTGTGTTGTGTTGCTTGCAGGAGCCAGCTCCAGAGGGATGTGCAACAAGCACTGCCACCCTTTCACTGCTGTCAGCATCCCCCACACCATCAATGCCCCTATTGAGCCGAGGGTGAGCTGGGAGGCAGAGCTTGGCTCTACAGCAAAACTTGTATGTCTTAATTAACTTTTTTTTTTAAAATGAACCAGCTCAAGTCATTGAGAGGAGCTGAAAAGTGCATAAGGAACATTAACATTTGAAGATGAATATGTAGGAGTGCTCTTCCCAAACCCAGCCAGCTTTGTGGGCACAGCGTGATGCTGGGGAGCGCCGTGGCCACATCCATTGCAGGTATCTGGGGCTGTACATTAAGCCCTGCTTTTCTCAGCCACTTCCCAAGGGCAGCCCCTGTCCCAGCAGCTCCCAGCTGCTGCTGCCAAGCAAAAGGCTTTGGCTGAAGGGGAACAATAGGCAGTTTTATCCTGGAGTCAGCGCGGCTGGCTGGGAACGGCGTGGCAGAGGTGATGAACTCCAATGAGGAGAGAGAAGAGTGTTGACAAATTCATTTTAAGCCAGACTGGGCAAGGAACCAGAACATGCAATGCGGGGAGCCGCTACTACAGCGTGCCTGCGGGAATCATTGATAACACACTCCTGAGCAGGGATTTTTCCACACTGAGGAAAAACTGTAAAGAAATTTTCCCCCATCAGTCAGGGAGGGAGGAGCGGCCCCGCAGAGCTGCAGTCCCGGGCAGGGAGGAGGGAGCAAGGCAGTTAAGTCCTGTCCTGGAGGCACAAGGGTTTTCTTGGCAGGCTGCTCCTGGGGATGTGGGGGAAGTGATCAAACAAGTCCTTCAGTAGCCAGGCTTGTCAAGATGAATATTAGAGGGATTGTCCACTGCCGTCAGCCAGATGCTAAAATCGAGGCAAGGTTTGGAATTTCCATGTAATTGGAACCATATTTCGCCACGGCCGGGCCGGGTGGCCAAGGTGGGCTGAGTAAGAGAGCACAGACATCTCTCTAAGTGATGATTTGGCTTGGAAGTTGCTGAGTCTGGGCCAGTTTGCACCAGCTGAAAGTTTGGTTTTGTAATTTCTAACTTTTTTTCAGTAGGTTCTTGCCCCTTGTTCCCTGCCTTATATACAGGAACTGAATGAAATCCTTTCATGAAGAAACAAACTACCATTACTGGACGTGGCAGTAACAAGAGAACGATGAGCTGAGTCTCCCCAGGTGCCACGGGTCCTCTCTTTCCCCTCGGGGCGGGATGGAGGTGCCTGGGACACAGGGTCGGATGCTGCCTCGGCAGGGCCCTGCAGCAGCCACACCAACAAAGGCTCATTGAAGGCAAGCCAGGCTCCCGCAGAGGCTGGCACTGGAGTCAGCCAGCTACAGGAGACCCTCAGGTTAATGATGGCAGGCTGGCCCGATCTGGGATGCTGCTGAAAAGCAAGCATGGCCACAGGAGGACTTGGTGGTTGGGCTGCAAACTCTGCTTTTGTTCATTCTGGGGGGCAAGCGGGCAGCGCCTCGGCCAGACGCAGCGGGACACAGGCTGCTGCCTGCTCTCCTCAGCACATCAACAAGACCTTCACAAGAGCATCTCCAGACCCCATTGGGAGTTTCGTTTGTGCAAATGAAAAATCTGCCTTGGACAGCACAGAGCACTTCTGACAGGCTGAAGTGATGATTTATGTGTTTTGCTTAATCATTTGTTTTCCTTTCATCTGCTTGGCAGCCAATACTGTGTATACTTTTAGTGATGCTGCTGCAACTGGGACATGGTGGTGGTGTTGGGAATCCAGCCTCAGCTGGGCTAAGCATCCTCAGCCTGCTTGAGCATTTGCTACACCTCTGGTCAAGCCCAGAGGCAGTTGATGGCCTTGCAACCCAGATCCATAAATCATATCTTTTGTGCTGATCATGTTTTGCCTACACATGTGGCCAGGGCTGCTGGCCACAAACCACAGAGATGGTGAGCTAGGCACTGCAGGGAAATGCTGTGCTGGCCAAACCAGCAGCAAAGAAACTTCCAGCTCCAGCTTGACCACATCTCTGCTCATGGTGATACCACTTCTTAGAAAGCTGCAGGCTGCAGTCGGCTCTCAGCAGGGTTACTCACACATGGAACACCAACCACCTGGGTTTTTAACTGAGGAGGAGCTCTGGGTACCTTATGGGCTGGTGCAGCCCCTCTTGATCTGTGCTGTCATATCTGATGTGTTGAAACAGGGGAGGGCAGTGCCACTGCCCCTTTTCCCCTCATTCAGCTCAGCATCCATGTCCAGAATTTGCCAAGTCTATCATACAGCCAAAGTTCTAGGTTTGATACAAGTCTGTAGACTGATAAAATATCTCTTATCCTTTTTTATGTGCTAGACAATAAAATAATGGTTTCTTTTGCAAGGATTTGTATTGCTGCATAACTTTCTTGGATTTAACTGATTTTTGATTTTAAGTAGATGTTCACCATGGAAATTCTGACGGAAGGATTTTCACTTGATTTCTTTACATTTTGGTGAGAGGTGGAACATGGAAAAAAAGTCAAGAATTTGTACTCAGTGAAGAAAGAGACACTCTGGCAGAGTCAGGAGAGATCTCTTCTACTGCTTCCTCCACTTCATTGTAGGGCTAAATTGAGCAAGTTGACTTGCAGCTCTCAAGGTTTCCTGCCTTGCCATCCCAGCTGGCTTTTCAGGCACTGTCAGGTGGGGTCTGGCTGTGTGTTGGGGGTCAGCATTGGAAAGAGGGAGGCTTACAGGACCCTCCTCTGCTCTGTTCCCTGCAGCCCCAACGTGTGCGCGGTGCAGAAGCTGATCGGCACCAACAGGAAATATTTCACCAACTGCAAGCAGTGGTACCAGAGGAAGATCTGCGGGAAGTCCACGTAAGTCCCCGAGTGCCAGACAGGGTCTCCCAAAGACCCCCTTGTGGAGTGGGTGCTGGGTGGCAGAAGCACACAGCAGATGTGGGATGTCAGAGCCCATGGTGTGTGTGTCACGTGTGTCTATGTTAAAAGTTGTTTTAGCTTTTTACCCCCTAAGAAATGCTTGTTTTTCTAAAGCACTTTGATGTTAAGAATGAAAAGTGCCATGTAAATGTAAACCCTGGTGGTTTATTCTAATTGCATTTCTATATATACTTATATAGCTCTCTGTGCTGTAATGAAGTGTGTGCCAGATGTTTTCTAGTACTGCCTGTCTCCATGATAGGGTCAATGCTGCCTAGATTTAAGAAATAAAAAAGGCAGCCCGGAGCTGATGGATATTGGAGAGAATGTAAAATTCATCTCCATCTGTTTGCTTTGGAAGGGAAAACAAATAAAAGGAAAGAGGTGTCAGCTTTAGCCAACACTCTCTGACTCCACCAGGAAAGTTAATCAGACTTGCAGGCCAATTCCACATCTAACATTGCAAACAGTAATATTCAAGTAGCTGTTGCATGAAGAATCTGTGTGAGCAGCCTCGGGACATTCTTTTGAAAGATGCAGTCAGCAGATAATAAAGGCTATGCATGCTTGACTATCTGCCAGGCCTTAGAGCAGGAGCAGAGACTTTTCCCTTGCTGTAGTCCAGGCTGGGCTTTTGGGCTCCCTTGCTGCACCCAGGCTCTGTGCAAAGATTCCCTGAGCAGTCCTGGCTGTGGGATCAGAGCTGTGGGCCAGGTCTCATCCCAGATCTCCAGGGTCCAGAAGAGAGAGGAGAAAATAATCTCATTTGTTTCCTGTATGGCTCAGTGTGAATTGTAATTAGATCTATAGCAACATGCTGCTCTTCACTGAGGCATTGTGGTTGCCATCAACCACAGCCTTGGTTTAGCTGTGACACCTGGCTGTCAGGATTTATGTGTGCTGCTGCTGTGGGGAGGAAAGAAGCAAACCAGGAGTCATGGCTGTGCACAGCTTTTGGCTTTCCATTGTACTTCACGTGAATTTGCTCTAAGGAGGAAAAGTCTGTACTTAAGGAGTATGTATTGCTGCTTGTACCATGTAGTGTGCATGTACCATTGCTTTCCTTATGTCCAATTGTCTTTTCAGAAAAGAAAAGGAAAAGCAATATTGTAAAAACAAGCAACCACATGCCCTCCCCTTAATTCTACAAACAAAATTTTGGGAAGGCTTAGCTTGGGTGATTTGAGTTCAGGCTGTCATCTTGGCTGAGTAATTGTGCTCCTTGACATGAAATGGACGAGTTGCCTTTCATCATTGCCTTTTCTGATAACAGAGTAGCTCAGTATGTCTCCAAAGAAAACACGACTCAGCTGTGTATGTGGGAGACTTTTGCTGCTGGTGGTCACTGAAAGGCAAAGCAGTCCAGCCATGGATTTCTTTAGCTCTGAAGCAAGTGAGAAACTAAACTTATGTAAACCAAGTGTGCAGCAGTATTTGGCACAGACACTCATCCACTTATCTCGAGGAGGAGGTGGAGTAACTGGCATCTGGCAGTATTTCATTATTCCATTTGAGGAGATGGGGTGATCTCTTCTACCTCATTTTCTCTGCTTTTACCCAAGTGTCTCACCCAGTGATGCATCACTGAGAGAAAAGTGCACAGACCATTAACCTGCATGTTAACCTATGAGGTAATATTTCCATTATGCACAGAATTTGCTCACTATTCTTCACTTTACCTCATCTCCACAATGGGTGTTATTGTCTTCTCTCCTCCCAGCCATTCCTGAGCCCAGGCCCTGCTTTCTCCTGTAGCAGTGCTGGTGCAGAACAAAAGACACGTGCTTTGACTCAGATTTTCCGGGGGACCCTGGGACAGGTCTGATTACAAATGTTTGCTTGAATGGCTCCCACTGGACGTGGTGTGCCTGGCATATGGAAGCAATCAGGAGTCATTTGGGCTATAAAGGACAGGATGCATTATGCTGTAGCAGTCAAATTCCTACAGCAGTGTCCGGAGTCTGATGCTGTGGCGTGCTCAGGTGTCAGAGCCCAGGAGATCTGGTGGGCACAGCTGATGGTGCTCAGCATGAACCTCCAAACTGGCCCTTCCTGATGGACTAAGCTGGTCCATGAGAGGTTTTGAGAATACCCTTAAATCCTAGAAAAAAAAAAAATCAGGATTTGGCACATTTATCATAACTGGGTGGATCCAGCCTTTGCTTGGGATCTGTAGTCAGCAGTCCTCTCCTAAAGCTGTGTGGGTGGTCCTCTCACATGCAGGGGGATCCCCTCCATCAGCTCTGGCGGGATGGTGGAGCTGCAGAAGCTTGGTCATTTTCTCCTCCTCCTGAAAGGTTTTTCCCACCTGAGAGCAGCAGTCCTGGGGAGGAGACACTTGGCCCATCTCATCTACTTCACATTTGACCTGGCTGTTTTCCCCTGTGTTTGCTTGAACGGTCAGTGGTGCCACGAGCTGTGCGTGGTGCAGGTGAAAACGCCTGGCTTTGGGATCATAACTTTGACTGCTTTGGTTTCTTTCCTTTTCCTGCTCTGAGCACCTTTTCAGACAGGTAGTGGGAGGGAGTCAGTGAGGGAGCAGGAACTGCTGAGGAGCAAAGCTGGGCTCCTGCAGAGCTGCCTCTGAGCAGAGAAATTCATCCCTCAGCAAGGAAGGCAGAAGATGCTGCAGCCTGTAGCATGACTTCACTCCTTGTGGAAGGATCACATCCTGTGTGGGGAGGCTTGGAGAGACTGGAGCAGCAAGGAAAGCCAGCCTGAAACACAGATGTGCTTGTTCTGGAGTCTTGGCTGAGTGTGCCTCACCTTTGGGTGCTGCTCCAGGCTGGGAGGGCTCAGTGACCTGGGGAGCAGCAGGAGCTGTGCTGGGCTCCTCCGTGGCTGCTGGCACAAACAAAGGGTTACACTTTGGAGGGTTTGTAGATTTGGTGGTTGGGAGGCATTTTCTGGCCCACAGGGGTGGAGTAGGTCCACTGGGGCTGTTTATGCACAATTGAAGTTTTAATTCATGCATCAGAAGGAGACTTCTACCTCTTTATCTGCTTTTTTTTTTTTTTTTTTTTAAGTTTCTTTTTCTCTGCTGAAGTATTGGCTCACACGGTTACAGAGAAATTAGGGAGAGGATTTATGTAGAGTTTTTATCTTTGCTGATGAAGTGAGATAAGGTAGTTGGCAAGAAGTCTGACACCGCTTTGATTTCAAGGAGTGCTGAGACAAAAGTGTTCTAGTAATTAGGTAACTTTCCACTGTTAGTTATTCCAAAATCAAAGAAATTGTTCATTCAGGGTATATTTTCATCATTTTGTCTGTGTATTTTATATTTTTCTCCTTCCCTTGTGCACTGGACTCATTCTTCCAGAATTGGGGTTGCAATAGAACACATCTCCACACACTGTTTTGTCTTGAGAATGAAGACAATTCATAAATTTTGGTTTTGATTATTTTTTGAGGAATAACCCATTAATAGGTTCCCTTTTTTTTTTTTCCCCTTTTTAAATTAACTTTCCTTTTTTCATGTGATCTACTTTCCTCAGTTTAGAAAAAAAAATACTGGCACTTATTTTACAAAAACAAAACATATGGGCTTTATTACAGGAAATTATTACAAATGGATCTTTTTTCACTAATATATGCCTAAGCTTATTTTTATTACCTTGAAAAATGCACTTTAAATTTAATTTCAGCTCCTAAGAATGCAACAGCAGTGGAACAATGACTAATAAAAGCCTAAACTAAAGGAGCTTTCTTCTGCAGGCGGACACAAATAGACATTAAAGAAATAATGTTTCAAAACCAGAGGCTAAAAAACTATAGATTTGACATGAAATTACTCACTGAGGAGGCCAGGAAATTGTGGTTGAGGCGTTGCAGAGGGGATGACAAATGCCCTTTGTGTGAGGGCAGTGCTAACTCACCCACATCGCTGTGTCCCGGCGCACGGGCTGCAGGAGGGACTGGGCACTTCCAAAGGCTTTTGTGCAGAACCCACGGTGTGAGCAGTGCCTGGGAGCTGCTCCAGGGAAGTTCTCCTCCCTGGGCAGCAGAGTGTGGCTCTCACCCAGATGGAGCAGGGTGTGTCAAGAGCAGCCTCCCTCCCTATGGATGTGTGGGGGAAGGCAGACTGAGATGCAGAGCATCCTTCAGCCACGGCTCTGCTGCTCCTCTCTGGGGACTAGAGGTGGCTGCAGGACCCTGGGGCCACTCTTGAGCAACCCCTTCAGTGGTGCCTTTGGGTGGGCTGGGTGATTTTTTGTTTCCAGCTGGTCCACCAGCCATGGGAGGCCAAATGCCTGAAGCTGAATCTGTGTTTCATGACCCTCATCTCTGGCTCCTTGTAGGTGCCAACCTTGAGCACCTCTGTGTTCCTCTGGCCCTTTGCAGCAGTTTGCCAGAGCTCGGAATGGTGATGTGCCAGACACACACCAGGTGATGCTGAAGGCCACCTTCAGTGGGAGAGTGAGACAGGGGATTTGAGGGAGTCCCTGCCCAAATGGAGCTGGCCCCGTTTCTGCCCTGGTGCTTCTTGCCATGAGCTTCCCTTCCTGCTGGAGATGCCCACAAACCCAGTGAAAAGCAGGAGGTGCAGTCATGGAATCACAGAATGGTGTGCCTGGGGAGGGACTTCAGGCACCATCCAGATCCACCCCCCTGCCATGGGCAGGGACACCTTCCACTTGACCAGGTGTCTGCATCCCTTCCCTGTGCCCTCCCCTCCTGGCAGGCACCAGGGGCAGCTCTGAGCCAGTGTGCCAGAGGCTGTGTGCATCCATGTCCTGCCCCTTTGGAGCAGCTCATTGGTCTCCAACTGATCCATAAGTGAGGCTTTTAAAGCCTTCATCAGCACTTTGGAATGATTTCTCTTTAATCAGCTCTTCATCTTTGATTACAGGTCTGAACCAAGGGAACTGTCTAGACTGGATTTAGTTTCTAGGGTGAAAAAGAGAAAAATTGGAGGTAGGGGAGGGAAGTGGTGGGGGAAGAAAGTGTGTGTTTCCAATGAACACAAGACAGGGGGCTGGGAAAGCAGAGCAGCAGGGTGTTAAGATCTCCAGTAGTCAAAGGAAGGGATTGCTTTAGGCAAACTCTTTCCCACATGGAATATATAATGTCTAGACAATCAGTCTGGGTTTGGTTTGTAATTCTCTTAGGAAACCGTGACACAGAATTTATTTGCTTCTGTCACACAAAAGCAGGTATTTGTTTCACTTTCTGGCTCTTAATTACCCTGAAGAATTCCCTATTAAACCCCAGGCATTTCTACTGTTTGTTAAAATGATGACAAATATCTGAAGCTGGAGGATTTTCCTCTCTCTTTGAGTGAGTGTGCTGACCTTGGGCAATACAGCATCCTACTTGTCTCAAATTCAGCTGGGAGCACAGAGGAAATGCTTGTCCTTGGGAGGAACATCTATTCCCTGGTTCTCTCAGCCCATCAATCAGGTGGCCTTGTTGCTTTCACACCAAGCACAGAGCAATAGGTGAAAGAATCCCCTGGGAAAAATAAGCAAGCAACTTCTGGGTTGATTTTTGTTTTCCTGATTTCTTTTTTTTCTTCTCCCTCTTAATCTCAAGCCATGTTCTCTTTGATAATCAGATGATTGTTTCTCATTGAGCTACAGATGATGGATGCAGTTTTCAGGCAGCTCTTGCTTATTTAGGGTCTGCAAATCATCAGAACAGCCTGGATTGGTGCCTCTGACCCCTCTGGTTTTATGGGGTAAAGTGCTGCCAGTCAGGAGGAATTGCTGCTCTGAGGCTGCTCACAGGGACTCAGCTGAGCTCTGCTACTGCCCTGTGGATGCACATCCCACCCATGGAGGAGTTTCTCCTTGCAGGGCTTTTCCCAACTCCTTGTGCCAATGCACATATCTGAGAACCCTTTCCCTCCAGACCTGTCTTGTGGGTTTTGCCATAAGTAAGCAAATAATTTCTGGTGGTGGACAGAAGCAGGGTGAAATGAGAGGGAAACGCTTGGCTGGTTTGGTCAAACAGCCACGGTGGAGTGTGGGTGTTGCCTGAACAGTGATGAGATGTGACAGCAGCAGTCAGCCGAGGAGATCCCCAAATCCCATGGGAAATGTGCCCAGAGGAACCAGCACTAGCAGTCTCGTTGGGACTGTGGAATCAGTTTCCAGCCACTGTTTGTATAAAGTCTCCTGGAAAGTGGATTTTTTAGAAGAAATTTTGTCTGCTTTTGTTCTGTGGAGAAACTGGCAACATGCAGCCCTGAAGGAGATAAAAGTATGGTTAGTCTTTTGTTGAAGTCTGTATTTCTAATGGAGAGTCTGCTTGGAAATATCCCCAATATGGATGAACCCAGAATTATATCAAATAGAGAAGAAGCTGTGAGACACTGCTGGTTAATCTGCTGTATCCATCTCTTATTGCAGAGTAATCAGTTACGAGTGCTGTCCTGGATATGAAAAAGTTCCTGGAGAAAAAGGCTGCCCAGCTGGTAAAAATATGTTTGACATTTTTTAGACTTCTTAAAATTATACAGCTGCCTAGTAAAGGGAAATGTTAAAAAATTGCTCAAAGTGGATTTGATTTTTGCAATTTCTACACAATATTGCCATGAACAAGTCCAAAATGGACTCAGTGGAGCACCAGCCAAGAGTCAGATCAGCTCCAAAGCATGCTAAAAGTTCCAGACAACTTAGAACCTTGGATGTAATTGAACTTAATCGAGCATGGGAAAGCCATATTCCAGCAAGTAATATATCTATATTGGAAATTCAATTCAGAGGAATGATAGAGTAATAGACAGCTCTGCCAATCTCTGCTCATTTGCATTTTTATAGATTCATAGAATGGTTTGTATTGGAAGGAACATTAAAGATCATCTAGTTCCAACCCCTGCCATGGGCAGGGACACCTTCCACTAGACCAGGTTATTCCAAGCCCTGTCCCACCTGGCCTTGAACATTTGGCAAGGATGAGATTAGCAAAGCTTTATTTAGGAGAAAATACAGTTGATATTGGGGGGGAATAAACTGGGTTTATTGAAGAAAGCCATATTCTGCTTTTGCTTTGAGAACACTTCATTCCACAAAAGTCTGATGCCTCCAAGTTAACCACATGGGCTGGTCAGTGGGCACTGAGACCAGCAATATCCAACACCAAATCCCAAAAGCCTGAATACAAACAGGACTGGGTGAAAGCAATCGATATATTTGCTTGCCTAAATCACATTAGTATAAACCCAGAATAAGTCCATTCAAACTTGCAAGAATATAGTGGATCCTGGATTCCACTGCTGTAATTGAGGGTGAAGCTGTCAGGCTGTAATTATTTATTATCTAATTATTGAACAGACACCAATCCCCTGATGTGCTTAATTTCCCAGTGTTCTCACCAGTTATGATTTAATTCAGCCAGAAGGAGGAATGATGTTTTGGGAACTTGACCTTCTCTTCTTTCAGCTCTGCCACTTTCCAACATCTATGAAACCCTGGGAGTAGTTGGGTCTGCCACCACACAGCTCTACTCCGACCGCTCCAACCTAAGGCCAGAAATCGAAGGACCTGGAAGTTTTACAATTTTTGCTCCCAGTAATGAGGCCTGGGCATCCTTGTCTGCTGTAAGAGAATTCCTCTGCTTCCTCCTTTTCCTCTGATTTTCCCTAGTGGAGATCCAGCTCTGCAGGGGTCTGGCAGATAGACACAGTACTGATAGAGGAAGGACTGTGGATTTCCAGGATGGTTTTCATTGTACTGGCCCATCAGCTCCAGAGCTTTGCTTCTGAAGGATCCCATCACCAGAGAGATGTGGATATAGAAATCCCCTCATTCAGCTTTCCCTGCCTGTTACCATTAGAGATTGAACTGAGACCTGAAGCAAGAAGCTTCCCATTCCTTACCAGTTTTCTTGTTAACTCATACATTGCCATTCTGGTTGTTCTTAATTTGTACAAATAGCCAGTCCCAGCTGGAGCCTCAGTAATTCCCACATGACTGTGTCCCGTGCTCAGTTAGAGATACATTTTCCTTTATGTTCATTTTGATTTTATCTTTCCATGTCTTGTGATATTTCCCCTCCTGAAGTGGTCACTGCTGTCCTGCTGCTGCTCCCATCCCAGTCAAGCATCCCTGTGAACAAGAACAACTACTAGGGCAGGGAGGAGGGATATTTATGGGTCTTGCCACTGCCAAGCCTCTGTCCCAAATGCCCCAGCAGAGCCCCTTGCAGGGATGATGCTATTAGGAAAGGTCTTTTAGTGTATTTGTCAGTGACCCTTTTGCCTTACTGCTCATTTCAATGCAATGATCCCACTCTGGAGCTGCAATCATCCCTTTGTGAGCCGAGGACTGGGTGTCAGAGCTCTTGGCAAAAGATAAAGATTCGAGAAAGCTGAGCTCTTAATTTACACAAATGGCATGAGGCTGAATGAATCACTTAATATTCATGCCCACACCCCCACGTTGGGAGCACCTTGGGAGCAGCCTGGTACTCTCTAACAGATACCTAATTGCACTCAGTACTGAAGAATTGATTTTTCTGATTTCCAGGAAACTCTGGATTCCTTAGTGAGTAACGTTAACATTGAGCTGCTCAACGCCCTCCGCTACCACATGGTGGACAAACGGGTCCTGACGGATGATCTGAAACACGGCACCACGCTCAGCTCCATGTACCAGAACCTGCCCATCCAGATCCACCACTATCCCAACGGGGTGAGGCGTTCAGAGACTGCAGTGGGTACCTGGCCCAACCTCCCTGCTCAAGCAGGGTGGTCCCAGAGCACACGGCACAAGGTTGTGCCAGTGGTTCTGGGCGTTTCCAGTGAGAGTGGATGTTTGCACACCCTCTCAGGGCAGCTTGTTCCAGTGCATGGTCACCTGCATTAAAGAAGCTCTGCCTCATATTAAACCTACCCACAGCAGGCTTGCTTTCTAGCTGCCTTGCAGCTCCTGGGACCTCCAGGACTCTGTAACACTTAGGTTGACAGCTATTGATTCAAGATACATACTATGAAGGAGTTTGAAAAGAATATTTTTAAGCAGATGGTTTCCTCAATGCTGTTGCAGGGAAGTTGCCCACACTACTGTGTAACTCTGCTTGCCCAAGAATTGGTTCTATTATTTTCTTGGTCTTGAGGGTAGACAAAACCACTGATGATTTTCAAAGCTCTTTAAGCTTGAAATATTTCAAACATTCTTGATAGAACATTCTCACTTTTGGTGTGTATTTTAAGGAAATACAACTCCTCTCACTGCATTTGAAATAGAAATAGAAAAGCAGCAGAGGCTGCTTTACCTTCTGGTTTTAGTGCAAGTAACACCCCATGGGTCTTTCCCTCTGCAGATTGTGACTGTGAACTGTGCCAGGCTGTTGAAAGCTGACCACCACGCCACCAACGGAGTGGTTCATGTCATCGACAAAGTCATCGCCACCACCACCAACAGCATCCAGCAGATCATTGAGACTGAGGACAGCCTGGAAACCCTCCGGGTCAGTCAGCACATGGCTGCTCCACGTCTCCTTGAGATGCTCAGGCATCCCACTCCCAATGAATCGTCCTGAAGAGCTTTGTCAGTGTCTTGGGCTGTGACCCTGGAGCTGCTGATGAAATCCTTGTACCAATGTAGCTCCTTTTGATTTAGGAAGAGAAGTGTTTGTTATGAGTGCAAGTAGGGTTTTATGACAATAATTGTCACCCTTCTATGGCTGCTCAGAAAATAGAGAGACTGAGTCTGTCTCTTCACTCTGGTAGGGCAGTCTTAGCCATTGGAGATGTTAACTGTTTCAATTAGATGTGTCCTGATTTATTTGCTTTGATATTTGCCAAATTAGGGAAAAGGCACAGGGGATTTGCAGTTAGCCAGCTGTGGGTTCTGATCTGAATTATTCACTGGAAGTACTGTGAGCCTTTCCAGGCATATCTGGGTATTCAAACTAGGTCTCAGTCTTGCCAAAAAAAAGGGCTCTTGTACTCAAATTTCTGGGAACACCAAAGAACCATGGGGGTGGGTCAAATTTTTAAAGGGACCAAAGTACTGAATGAAGCTATTCAGGATTTTTTTGAAGTCCTCTGAAATTATAAAAGCCTTAAGAAGTCTGGCCCTTAGTGTGCCACTGGACAAAGTTTTTGACCTTTGTATTCTGGCTGAATGTGTTTTTCCCTCTCTCCTTATCTCTGTGAAGACTGCTGTGGCTGCATCTGACCTCAGCAGCTTGCTGGAAAGCGAAGGCCAGTACACACTCCTGGCTCCAACCAACGAGGCCTTTGAGAAGATCCCACGAGAAACACTGAACAGGATCCTGGGAGACCCAGAAGCCCTGAGGGGTAAGTGCTTGTTTGCTGAGGCTATTGAGAGACTGAAGAGTATTTTTCAGTTCTTCTAAATTTTTTCTCAAGGACAATTCAACAGCTGCTTGATACACTCTGACAATAGCTGCACTAAACAGATGTGACAGAGTCCATCTTTTTAAACTGGACAGCCAAGCTGCCTTTGGTTGTAGATGTGTAGACATAGCAGGAGTGGCATCCAGATATGGATGAGAGAGCTGAAGCAGTCCCCTTTCTGAGTTTTCTTTTAGCAGTTTTTGCAGTGATGATTTCCATTTATGCAGCAAGATGCAAGAAAAGTAAAATGTAATCAATGTAACTTCCTCTGACAAGTGAGTCAAGTACCCACATGAAGCCTTTTGAAGTTGGCAGAAGTGTATAAAAAGTGATTCTTTTTAGGCATTTTATTTCACAGGCTGTGGAATTAAAATCAGCTCAATTTAAAATGACTGCATTTTATGGAGTCATTTCAGGGGTCCACTGAACTGGACCCCTGAAAGCTGCAATACTTTCACAGCTGGTTTTTGCAACTCACTAAGGCCCTCTCCTCTCCCACAGACCTGCTGAACCATCACATCCTGAAGTCAGCCATGTGTGCTGAGGCCATCATTGCTGGCCTGACCATGGAGACTCTGGAAGGAACCACCTTGGACGTGGGCTGCAGTGGGGAAGAGCTGACCCTCAACGGGAAGCCCATCATTGCCAACAAGGACGTCCTGGCAACCAACGGCGTTGTGCATTTTGTCAATGAGCTGCTGATCCCAGACTCAGGTACTGGTGCCTCTCTGCAGCATTCTTTCTGCTCTCTGTCTTATGTCTGTTTTGCCAAGGAAATCCTGGATTTAGGGGGCACAGTGATGAGTGGATAACCTTTAATGCAAGGTCACTATGTGTTGCTTTTCTTTTCAGCTAAGACTGTGTTTGAGTTGGCACAAGAATCTGAAGTTTCCAAGTCTACAGACCTTTTCAGACAAGCTGGTCTCAGTTCTCATCTAACTGGCAGTGAGCAAGTGACCCTCCTTGCCCCAGTGAATGATGTGTTCAAAGGTAAATCAGGGATTAAATCCCTTTTTTCCATCAGTTTGGGCCACAGATCTCCTTCAAACAGTTTTCAGCCAAATTTCAGTGCACAAATACGAAAATATTTTCTCAAATGCCTTGAGGCAGTGGCATCTAGGTTTACAGTTTAAAAGTAATGTGGATAATGCTCTGTATTTGAATGGTTTTTAGTGTCTCAATTTTAAGTGAATCACTGTTCTTTCCATACTTCTTGCTGCAGATGGACTCCCTGTTATTGACAGCAACATGAGAAACTTGCTTCTGAACCACATTGTTAAAGACCAGCTCTCCTCTAAATACCTGTATCATGGACAGAAACTTCAGACTCTGGGGGACAAGGAGCTGAGAGTTTTTGTGTACCGCAATGTGAGTCCTTCCCGTGTGCTGTGCTCTGTGGTGCTGAGTGATGCTCAGTGTTCTGATGCTGCAGCTGTCATCAAAAGTGGAAATGAGCATTGTGGAAAGTACCAACATCTCTCTTTTGAAGCATATTCTAATGAAACCTTCTTTTCTGTGATTGTGTTTGCAGAACCTTTGCATTGAAAACGCCTGCATTGCTGCCCATGACAAGAGGGGAAGGTTTGGGACCCTCTTTAGTGTGGACAAAATGTTGACTCCTCCGACTGGCTCAGTGATGGATGTTCTCAAGGCAGACCATCGCTTCAGGTGACCTTTCTGCTCTTCCCAAGTGCCAATTAGAATAAGAACAGCTGCCAAAGCAGTTTATATTTATTATGGGTCGTAGTCATGACAATGTATATGTTTTTTCAGCACAGAAAGTTCATCCAAAACCATGGTCTCTCTAAATTATAGGGAGTGAAACTTCAAATAACCCTCAATCAACTGTGAGCCAAGAGTAAGTGGTTCCCTTAATACTGTAAGAATCTGGCTCTGAAGCCATCTCTGCCCACCAGATCCACTGTAGCCAGACCTCTCTGACTCTCCATACCATCAGGTCCCCATGGAGTCAGCACTCCCAGGCTGTTTTGCCACTTCTCAGATGTTCTGGTTGGACTCCACAGGCTCATTTCCTCCCTAATCACCATTTTGGTATTTGATTTGCTGGACCCCAGCAGGATTTCACAACTGTAACTCTGTCCTGAGCCCAGCACGCTGCTGATCAGTGAAGTGGTTAGCAGTGAAGCATTTGATGCATGTTTGCTTTGCAGTACGTTGGTGGCTGCAATCCAGTCTGCAGGGCTGACAGAGAACCTCAACAGGCCGGGAACCTTCACGGTGTTCGCTCCCACAAATGAAGCTTTCCAAGCCATGCCCCAGGGGGAGCTCAACAAACTGCTGGGTGAGCATCTCCAGAACTTTTAGGGGATGAGCTGCTGTGTGTGACTGCTGTGATACTGGAAGGAGTATCTCATGCTGTATCTCATTCTTTGGCTCTGTCTGTTGGAAGCATGAGCTTCCTACCCAGTGGAGTTGCATGAGCAGAAGCTGAGGATGCAGAGAGTTGCACTGAATTCCCCAAGTGGGGCTTACTGCCTGTGTTCTTAGAAGATATGTTTGTAGTGTGTGTCACAAACTCACTGTGACTTTTAATTTGGTTGTACTGGTGGTATAAGTGAGAACTCCCAGATATTTCTAAAAGAACCGGTGAGGCCTCTGCCTTTTTCAAGGATGAAAGAAGTGTGAATGTGACTCTAGAAAACATAGGATGTGTCTGCAGTAAGTTTTGCAAAGAGAAGACATGATCCACATGCAGCCTCAAATTACACTCTATGAAATTTAAATAATAAAAGGCTGGGGCTGTTTCTCCTTCTCCATGTACATGGACAAAGCAGGAGGTCCAGTCTAATCCTGGGAAGCCAACATTCTAGCTCAGATGAAGACCAGTATCCTGAAAAGCAAAGGCATGCAGGCTGGGTGTGGAAAAAGGCACGGGGATGTTTAATAATTCCCTTCTGGATAAGCAGCATGATCTTTTATTTTGTTCATGTTGAAAACTGGTTGTGGTTGGAAACAATGTCAGGTATTTGAATGTAATGTCTTCTTGTCATTAAAACCCAGCCAAACATTGACATCATAATTTGGGAAGCATCTACCCATGGTAGCTGGTTATCCTTTTAAGTGCAGGGATGAGGAACCAGTAGTATCAGTCCAGTCTTATGCTTAATATATAAATATTTCAGAAGTGTTTTGCAGCCATTGTAAATGGCTGCAGGAATGAAGATTCCCAGATGTAGACACTTCAGATGTTCTTTTCTCACACAAATGTTTAGCTTATGCCTGTGATGAAGAAGTGGATCTGCTGGTGAGGATATGCAGAATGAACTATGGCCACCCAAGGAAAACCATAATGGAAAAAAGCTTGCATGCAATCTTTGAAAGCATTGAAAGAAAAAGTCCATCTTGCTGAGGGAACTGCTCTGTGGATGGAGGCCATCTTTGCACTAGCTGTCTGTAGGACTTGTCAGTGACTCTGTGTGTCTGTGTGGCTTGCCAGTGGCCCTGTGTCCTCTGAAGGAGAAGATGAAGTGCTGCTGGCCTGTGTTGTGTGTGTCACCACCTCTTCTGGGAAATAGATGGTGCAAGGAAAGCACCTTATCTTCCTAAAATCTGTTTCAAAGCACAGCTGTATGTGTAGAGACTCGGTGGGGTGGTATCAGGGCATCAGTCCATGAGACATTAGTGTCTCCAGCACTTTTCTCCTTCCTACCCAGCTGTGAGGATTGTTGCCAAGTGACAGTGGCCTTGGTGACATTTGAAAATACCAGAATGCCTTATCTTCTTCCTTATTTCACATGGGTTTTTCCCCACCCCATCCCAGACTTCCTTGGGAAGTGAAAGCAGCAAGAGAAGCAGGTTCATTCCGAGAAGCAGGTTCTCACTTGGCACAGTGAGAGAATGAGGGATGAAAACCTAAGAAAGAGAGAATTCATGTGTAGGGCAGACTTGGTAGGTACCAAGGTGGGACACTGGGAGAGTGTCCTTCTGGATTTGGGAACCTGACCTGCCCGGCCAGGAACGGCCTCGATGCCCATACCAGGTCCTTCTGCCAGCTTTTTGGGTTTGGTTTATTTTTTCAATTTTACATTGTTCTCCACACTTTCAGGAAATTGTGGTGTTTTCCAAGTAATTCCATCCCAGCACGTGAGATATAGGAAGCAATTGCTGATGCTGGTTTGCAGATGTGAAGATTTTCTTCCCACAGGTAATGCCAAGGAGCTTGCCAACATCCTCAAGTTCCACGTGGCTGATGAGATCCTGGTGAGCGGCGCGGTCACTGCCCTGGTGAGGCTGAAATCCATGCAGGGAGACAAACTGGAGGTCAGCATGGTGAGTCACCTCAGATGGGCTTCTGTGGTCAGCAGGGCTCTCCAGTGCTTGGTTGTCCATGTCATGGACCAAAGCATGTCTGTGCCACCAGTGTTTTCTGGGCTGTACTGGAGGGACTGTTGCCATGGTTCAATTCAACAAGCTGGAAGAATGAAATGTGGTTTGCTTCAGCTTTCTCCCCAGAAGACCAGTTGTAAATGATTTCCAGGAGCTGCTATAAATTTAACCTTGAGTCATGGAGGGAAAACATAAATAAATGAAATGAATAGCTTGTTCAGCTAACATATCTTTTTGTGTAATGAAAATGATCCCTGCATGGGCTCCCTTAGGGCAGCAGAGTTTATTTAGATATATAATTTCATTTCAAAAACTCTACACTACATAAGGGAATGTAGGATCCTATACTGAGGAAAAAAATCATTTCAGAAAATAAGCAATCACGACCCACCCTATGCATAAGAAAACACAATGGAAAAAAAAATGGAAGGGACTGTGTTTCCAGGTGCATTGAATTGGCCAACGTGCAACCTGGACTCTTCCCATGTCCACTCCTGCTCTGCCCTGTCCTGATCCCATCCCCACAGCCATCCCCCTGGCAGGGTGCTGCTGGATGTACTTGCTGCCATGGGACAGCATTCCCAACCAGCTGCACTGAGGAAGTCCAAAGCCTGCCAGCCATTCCAGGACAAACTGCTCAGGCTATGAGTTGTCTTTATATTCTCCTTAATTGGCAAGAGGAATGAAAGTGCTTCAGCCATCCAGTAAATGAATGAATGCAAAGTGAAGGTTTTTTTAAATAACATTGGAAATGACAGAAGATTCTCATCTATCTACATTTTTATTTTTTCTTTTACTGAACAGAAGAACAACGTAATACATATCAACAAGGAGCCTGTTGCTGAAAGTGATATCATGGCCACAAATGGTGTCATTTATGCAGTGAATTCTGTCTTACAGCCACAGGGTAGGTCCATGGTGAGAAATGTCCAGAGCAACCTTGTTACAGCAAAGCTGCTTTGGGGACACGGGGCAATTGCTTCAGTTTGGTGAGGAAATATTAGTCTGTTGTGGGATTTTCAGCAGAAAATAGTGGAAGGAAGCAGCCTGCGTGCTCTGACAAGTATTTCAATGCTCTCAATGTCCCACCCTTAGCTTCAAGGCCACAAGAAAGAGGTGACGAGCCTGCAGATCCTGCATTAGAAATCTTCAAACAGGCATCTGCATTATCCAAGGTAAAAGGGAAAAACCTCTCACTGTTAAACTGCTGAAATCGCATTTTGGTAATAATTATTGGAAGATCATGTCATATCCATATGCTGACTTCCAAGGAAAGTGAGTGTATGTGTTCCATGGAATGATCCATCCTTTCTTCTTGCATGATATAATATATTTAATAATATAATTTAATAATATATTTAATATAATAGAATATAAATATAATATATTTAATAATATAAGAAATAATAATACATCTTGCAACACAAAACTTCAGTTTGCAGCACACTGTGAATGTAACCTTGGCATGGTACTATTATATATCAGCTTCCAAAAATGAAGAGTCATCCATCCATAGCTTTTGGAGACTAAAGATAACTTTATTGACATACAAACTGTTCTTGTGGCTGTTGGAGTGATGCATTTATGCAAACCCTGTGCTTTCTTTCCATGCAGGTTTCTCAGAGGAATCCTCGACTAGGTAAAACAACCTCTCCAGCTCATTCCTAATTTCCATTGTGTCCCCCCATCCTTAAAGAGAGGTTTCTCCTGTTCCCTTCCCCTAAGAGCAAGACTGGGAGGAGAGGGGCAGGGGGATGGTTTGTGTCTGCCCACCCAACTCGCTCTTCTCCTTGGCAGCCCCTGTGTACACCCGGATACTGGCGAGGTTGAAGGAGAACTCGGGGGGATTCTGAGCCCATCGTGAGCAACCACGAGTCAGTGCCTCCATCCCATCCACTCTGGCTGACAGCTGCAGAGAAGGACAGAACCGTTTTTAAAAACCAAATGCCACCCTTAAATTTATTTTTGTTTGCAATGAAACGGATAGGAAAAATGAAAAGCCATATATATGTATATATTTTAAGACCATTTTTATTTGGTTTTGACTTTAAAGTTCCCAGACCAAGGAAATGCTTTGAGGTTTTTTTGTTTGTTTTGTTTCATTTTTGTTTTGTTTATTTTTAAAATAAAATTATTCACCAACTTTCAATTTTTTGTGCTTGATAGGTACATCCAAGGGCCTTTTATTTTTTTAAACAGGCATGTCCTTCCTTCTTCCCTTGGATTTTAAGTCTTCCATGAAATTCTGATCTGCAGGCTTTTAACAAAATTCTCTCTATTGACATTGAGAAAATTGCATAGTTATAAACTATGGTTTGACGTATTCTTTTTTTTTTTTTTTTAACTGGGGTTTTTTTTTTTTTTTTTTTTTTTTTTTTTTTTGCTGCATTTTTTTTATGAGATTTAAAATGACAGTTCTCCCTGGCTGAAGCCTTCCAGTAAGTGATTCATTTTTAATAATGGTTGTTTTTTTAATAAAAATTTAAAATAAAATCAAAAATATAAATATGGAAAGTGATGACAGTGCTTGGTTGGGTTTTTGCTTGGTTTGAATTGCCTGATGGCACCAGGTGATCAAACCTGAGCACTGGGAAGGAGGGGAATCAGACTGAATCCAGGAGGGCTGGATCAACATTGATGGGTCAAACAGTTACTTGGGTGGAATGGCAGAGCACTTCTCCTCTCTGATCATCCTTTGCTGCTGTTCTCACGAGCAGTCACTGCCACTCTCCAAGGAGCACAGGGCAGCCATGCACATCCTTCCTGCTGGGTGCTCAGCCACCTTTGCTGGCAGCTGGAGCTCACATTCCATGCTGCCAACAGCATTTACTCCCCATCATGGCTTAGAGTCACTCCCTGGTAGTTATTACCTTGGTGAAACCCAGGAGTAGGAGGCAAAAAAGAGAAAAAGAGTGTCAAGTGCAGAACACAAAATACTCAGATTGTTTTGTTTGCTCTGGCAGAGAAATACCCTGATAGTTCTCCTTCTATAAAAAGCCCAAAGTGAAATCCCACATGCTTGGAGTAATCTGCGTAACTTGAATGTGTGAAAAATGCCCAGCACTTCTTTTATCTCTTCTTTTATTTCTCTTCTTCACTACCCCTCTCCCCACCCCCCTCATTTTTATTTGTTATTTTTCTGGCCTGATACAATCCTGGTATTTCAGGCTGAGGAGGAACACTTTCAGCCACCTAATCCCAGCAGCCCAAGGTAGATTAATTGTATCAGGGGATTGGATTTTGGGAGAGGCTCAGCTTCTTGCTGTTAAACTAATTACTGTTCCTTCCAAAGCCTGAGAAAGAGGGAAATCCATGTCAAATCTGCTCTATTTTATTTTTAGTTCCTTCATAATTGAGAGATATAAAGTCCTCACAACTTAAAAGGGTGGAAAGTAGGTCTGCTCCTCATCTAGGTGAGTGCCCCTTGTTTACAGCTTCTTGGCATCTGGCTTGGTGACTACTTGTTTCATTGCAAAATGAAGCCACTTGTGTAGACAGGAGCAGGGGAAACTGCTTAGATGAGCTTAATAACCATGGGCAATCCTATCTGCTGGGACAACAGTTTTCATCTTCTGGAAATACAGCCCTGGCTTTTCACTCCATGGTTCCTGGGCAGGTATTAGGTGTGGTGATAGGGTGATGGTCTCCTTTGTGCTTTTTGTGTGGCCTGGCTTTGCTAGGCTTGCTTTTGGCTTGCTTTTTCACCAGGTTTATGAGTCCCTAGTTTCTAGTAGATAGAGATGCATTATCCTTTCAACCCAATTCCCTTTTGCTCTCTCCTGTTGCTTATTCTCCCTGGTCCTTTGGCAGGGCTCCCTCCCTCACTCCTGCTGCCTGTTCCATCGTCTGAGGTGCTGTGGGTGGGGGCTGCTCTTCCTGCTGTGCTGGCTCTGTCATTTCCCTGTGATCCTGCAACTTGGGCAGCATCACAGGGTGCCTTCCCACAGGCAGCTCATGGTGGAAACTCTTGGGAGTTCTTAATGCTTACCCTGCTCCAAATTGATTTCTCACCCCTCTGTGTTCAGGGAGGGATACACAGATGGATTCGATCAGTGGCTGAGCTGTCTGAGTTGATCAGTAGGGATTGTATCCCTTGCTTTGACTCAGTGACACTTTGGGGATATTTTTTCCCCATGGATTTGTCACTGTCCCCTATGCAGTAATGTGAGGGTGAGTGCTGCCAATATTCTACCAAGGGGAGCGAGATGTTAACGCTTCAGCCTTCAAGGGGTGCCCAGGGATGAAGCAAGAGGAGAGCAGCTGAAAGACAGGGAAATGAGCAGTGTTGAAATGATGGGAATAAAAACTTAGTTGTCATTTTCTAAAGAAATATTTTAATTTTTTTTTGAAATATGATAAAAGGTGGAAGTGAAAGGAAGAAGGAAGTTGCTGGTGCTGAGGCAAAACATAACTTCCCTGGGGAAGTGCTGGCCAAGGGGCAGAGAGCTCCCATGGGCCCAGCTGGGTGTGGGAACCTGAGGATGGCCCAGGCAAGGGCTGTGGTGTGATGGAGGAGCTGGAACTGCCCTGGGTACCCCTCCCCTCCCAGAGCTGCAGGAGTCTTCAGAAAACCACACTCAGGGAAGGGGAGAAGCAGAGCCCGATTCAGGAGCTGCTGAGTGAGGGTCGGGGCAGCCTTGGGATGAGCAGCATTTAGGATTGGCCTTCAGTGCCAAACAGCACTGGGGTGTTCAGCACAGAGCCATATTGCACCAGGGGGTTTTGGTTTCTCAGTGTTGTCAGAGTATTTCCACATGAAACCCAGGATGTGGCTGAACGTCACCATGACCTTGAACCACGTCTGTGCCCCATGGGAACTCCCTTCAGGACTGGGGCAAAACCAGAAAACTGAGACCAAATGAGAGTCTTTTAGAAGAGAATCTTGTTTTTTCCCTCCTTAGGAGTCAAGAGTGTTTTTCTATTGAGAATTTGCAGGGATGTGCAGCTGTCCTTGTTTATTTTTTAGAATAATGATTCCTTCATTTGCAGCAGTTCCAGTTAAGCAAAGTAATTAAATGCATGCAGAAATCCATTTAGGAAAAATACAGCTTCTAAGTGTGTGCTCTATGTCCCAGAATGATGCCAGCACGGCCAGGCTGCTGCTCGTGGGTCACTCCTGAGCCAGAGGAGCCCCAGTGCTCCAGGGCTGGAGCAGTGAACAGAAGGTGGTGCCTCTGAAGGGCTGGGAAAGCAAATGTTGACTTCAAAATGCTGTGTTTTGAGAAGCTTCATGTTGTGGTTTTGCTCATTTGCATCTTGAGTTATGAACCAGAGGTGCTTTTCTTCTAGAAAATTCTTTTGCTATCTGGCAGCCTTCTGCAAAGATATTTAAGGCAAGAGGAAAAGCGGCGCAGAGCTTTGTTCCAAGGGAGATCTCACAAGCAGGGCTGTAGTGGAAAACACGTGTTCCTCCAGTGTCAGGGGATGCTGGAGCTCTGTGTGCTTGGCTAAGGAAGGAGGTTTGGAGCTGCCCTGCCCCGAGTGCTGGTGGGGGAGCCAGGCTGGGAGGGCTGGGGGGGAGCAAAGGCAGCTCTGCCTCGGTGGGAGCAGTGGAAAGGCAAAAGCCTTTGCCTGGGTCAAAGGCCAGGCAGAGGCTTGAGTGAAGCCAAGGCAGCTCAGCCAGATGTGCTGCAGGGGGGTGACCTCTGGAAAGGGTCACCTGAAGACAGGGGGAGCCACCCATATGCTGTCACTGGAAAACTGTGCTCCTGCTTTTGTGCTGTAGGGAAATTCTTGCTTCTACATGTGATTTATTGGAAAGTTAGCTGGTGTCCCAGGAGGAGCAAAGAGAAAAAACAATGGTAATGGTAATGCTGGTGAAAGACAGGCTCAAAGGAGCAGTTGGGATCAGAGGCATTCAGCTGTGGCTCAAGCAACTCTTGCAGGATTTTGTTTTTCTTTGGAGCCCTTTTTGGAGATACATTTGAGAGATTTTTTCAGAAACCTGTAAATTCTCCAAAGAAAAATATTTAGGGGGATCTTCTTTCCAGCAGTGAATGATCCCTTACTGTTTTGTAAGATTTTTATGATGACTTTGCAAAAGCTCAGCACTTTTCTTAGAAGTCAGCTGGTGCAGGAGCAGAGGGTAGCAGTGTCTGGTGAGCCACATGAAGGCATCTCCTGCTAAGGGAGAATATTCTAAGGATTTGTTTTCACCTCCTGGAAAGGAAGGTGACAGCAAGGGTTGGTTTGCTGGATGATGCCATTCACGATACTGAGAAGCTCTTTACAGAAGTGCCATGGGCTGACCCAAGACATCTGTCCTGCTACACTTACCCTTGACTTTTCTGCAGCTTTTCAGAGGGCTTGGCTGCCTCTGGCTTTTGACTTGTCTGTTCTTTCTCTGTTCAGCATTTCCAAAGGGACTTCATCTCAATTTGGAAATCACACATTTCTTTCACATGCAGCTTGTGCATCAAGCCCTATTAGCTGGCAAATGCAAAACTCATTCTATTTTAATTGCTCCTTCTGGGAGACGAATCAAGATCTCTTGTTTGGAAAATAATTGTGCAGAAGCTGGAGGACATCTCAGGGCATTTGTTAAATTTTGCAGAGGCAGGAGGATAAATTCCTGGATTTCAGGATTTCTACCAGTGTTGCTCTGTAGTCTTCTAGATTTCTACCTTTGTCTCAAAGTTTGCAATTGGGATAAACAACCTTTGTCAGGAGCCTTTAGGTGGAAATCCCAGATAATCCCCAAGGACTACAATACTATCTCTGTACATGTAGCACTTGGGAAGTTACCAACCTCCACAAGGGAAGAGCCAGAGGATTGCTCTGAAGGAAGATCAAGTATCATGATGACCATGACAACAGTCATTAATTTATAATTAAGGCTGGTTTTATAACAGATACAAAGATCCATCCATTTGCTGTA